TGATTTTGGCCCCCCCAAACATAATGAGCATTTAATATATTTACTTGTATATTTACAATTTTATCCTCTCAAGTCCCTCCTCAATTTTGTAACTCTCATATAATTTATGATTTTGTTTCCCTCAAACTTAATTATCATTTAATATATATCTACAATTTTATCTTTTCAACCTTTCATATTCTTTTTTCTTTTTATTATTTATTAATAATATATTATTTGGCCCCCCAAGATCAATGGTCAAGATCCGTCACTGATAACAATAAATATATATTATCAACGTTAATATATATATATATATATATATATATATATATAAATATAATAATTTTTTTAATATAATCGATTATTCATGTTTATATAATCTATTATTTATATTCTATAATTGATTATATAAATTTATGTATTCGATCATCTGTTTTTCAAAATTTTATAATCTAATATTTTCAAATATTTTATGATCAAAATATTTTGTTTATAATGTAATTTAATTATAATAAAAATATAATTGATTAACACATATTATATATATAATAATAATAATAATAATTAATATAAATTTATATTAAAAATGAAAATTTTAATATAAGTAAAAATAATATATAATAAAAAAATTGTAATTTAATTTATATTTACTATATTGGTTATATGAAAAAAGTTGATTATGAATGATAAAATAGAAAAAGTTATAATAAAAAGTTGATAAAATTCTAAAGGATAAATATTTTTTTTAATCTTTCCTCTCAAATCTTCTCATTTAAAATGAAAATATTATTTGTTCACCCATTCATCTTTTCTATTTCTACACAAATCGAGTAGATCTAAACAAAATTGATCTACATACATTCGTCTCTTCATTTCCTTGACATAATGTTAGAGTTATTCTTCTCTTTTCCAAAAAGTTACTTTCTCATTTCTATCAATAACCACAATCTTTTTTTCTTGGACTTTACCAACAATTATTACATTCAACCTAGTCTAAACAAGAACTTCCAAAGTCATACAAAGAAAGAACCAAAAAAGACTAGCAGATATTCCCAAGACTCCTTGGAATCTTTCTTTAAAACACAACCTCTATAAAAATGCAAACTCTTTACAATTTACCCAATCTAGGTTTTCAAGATTCTCAAGATTCCTACTCACAAATGGCCTTAAAATCGTGTTTTACACCACCTTCACAAAATTATTTGAATTTTGAAAACTCCTTAATATCCATCAAGGCTATTCTTTAGAAAAATACAAATGAAGAATAAGGATATCCTAACATAACCCATATTTTGATGACTAATATAACCAAATCAAAGTAAGACATGAACTTATCTATAAGTCACTAGATGAAGAAATCAACTAATTCATTTTTTTCTTTCTCAAATTTATGTCTCATTTCTTTATATTTTTCTTTAACTCAATTCGACTCATCTCAACTTGTGTCGACATGGGCCAATCCAACTCAATCTAGATTAAAATGGCCTAACCTGAGCTTGATTTCGAACTAACCTGACACGTTCTAATCATCATCGAATCATTCTAGCTCGACTGCTCTCTATCTTATTCATCATATATTAGTGTGACCTAACCTATCTCGACCCATTTTAAACCATCTCAACCTAACTTATACTATCCTTTATGATAAAGTTCGACCCTACTAGTCAAAGTAGGTTTGATCCACCCCGACTCAATCTATATCAAGTTGACACATCTTGGTACGATCCAATTCATCTTGATCTAACTTCTCCTAACTTAACACACCTTGTCCTGACCTTACATAACCTATTTAATCTTGATTTGTCATATTCACTTACTTCTTGACTTGACCCAACTCAACGTGATATGGTTGATTTGATTCGTCCTGACTCATCTTAACACATCTTAACAAGACCCAACTTATCTTAACTTGTTAGCCTAACTAGACTTGATTTAACCTTCTTGACCTAGTATAATTTGCTTTGATCAAGTTTGACCTTACCAATTTGGTTTATCCCAATATCAATTGACTCAATTTAGTTTGTCATGGTCTGTATCAGTCCAACCTTATTCATGTGAATAAGAGTCACATGCCGTGAGTTGGACCCAATTCTCAAGATAATAATGATAATTTTGATTATTTTATATTTGGTAATAATTAAAATACTTTATCCAAATAAAAAAAATTAAATAACCTTTATCCAAACAAATCATTTGAAATGAAAGGAATTCAAATTTAATATATTTTAATTTCCTAGAAATTACAAAATACTTTATCCAAACACATCATTAAGGCATTTTAACTCTAAAAATGTGAATTAGTTAATAATATTTGTAAAAAGAAGTGAGGATTTAAGATTTTAGAGGAGAGATGAAAATTTTTAAAAAATAAAAATGAAATGGTTAGTTTTTTATTTATAACTTTAAAATCTTAACTAAAACCAATTTTCATTTTTCATTAATTTTAAACATTATCATCTAATATTCCTCAAAACATAGTTAACTAACTAGATTTTGAATAAATTTATATATAAGGAGTAAGAAAATTGAAAAAATAATGACAAATTTTAGATGGAGGGAGGTACTCTTTCTACCACAAATGTCACCTATAAAGAAAATGAGACAGCAAAAGACAAAATTCTAGTAAAAAGATGATTCAAATTACGCTTCAGGATCTTTTGTTAGACAAGTCAAAGATAAAGGAGGAGTTGAATAATATTTTTCTAGAGAAACACTTGTTGATGCTGAGACTTTCGTTGGTGTTGATGTTATGCTAGAAAAACAATGATGAGGGATAACTTATGGGGTTGCAATAGAGAAAAAACTCTAGTATAAGACTATAATTATAAATACAATTATTATTAAACATGACAAAACGTATCAACTTGCTCCGTTTTGATCTTTCTCGTATTTGAACTATAAAAAAAATAGGACGAATACAAGATCATCTAAATGTTTAAATTTCAGTGTATAAAATTTATTCAACTAAATGAAATCACTAATAAAATTTTACATAGTCGTCGTTGTTATCTCAAATCCACTATATACAAAATAATATTCATCACTCAAATTCTTTCATTAACACAATTTATTTTAAAATTAAGATTAAAGTTAACTTCCTCTATGTATTTAATTATGAAAATGGGATGAGTCAAAAGATATTTTAAATTGTTCTCAAACCTGACAATCCAATACCCTATGATGAACTCGGATTCAAAGAGAGTCACATTTTCTTTGCAAGCCAATACATCCGCGTGAAAGATGGGAAGAACATGAAATTTGAGGGAAAAAAACCTTAAGGAATTAATATGAAATTTACACAAATTTTTAAAATGTTTTTAAAAAATAATTTCTACATTAATTAAAATTGGATTATAAAAAATTAATTTATAAGAAAACTCATATATGATGTAAATTGTCCAAACGTGTCATTTTGCATTAATTTTATATTATCAAAATATTTTTTTTCTTTTGGCTTTTCTTTTGTCCTTGCATTTTAACTGCATTGAATAATATTCAATGGAATTAACATTTGCTTAAATAAATTTATTTTTATAAGCATTTTTTAAAATAAAATAAAGTATAAATTAATTTAATTTATCAAAAAATATTTTTATGATAATTATTTTTATGATTATGACAACAATAACATAAATAAATGAAATATCTCTCCAATTTGGATAAATTAATAATTTAAATACTGGATAAATTTCAGATCAAGGAACCTGATTATAAATTGAAACACCCCTAAAGATCTAATTGGGACACTAAAAATATGAAGAACCAAAATCCCTGGTTGAAATTGCATTTTTCATTTTTAGTAATTTAAATGAAAAAAAAAGTTGTAGGATGGTCTACGTTGAATCAAACGCAATCATGGGATGAGACCAGCTGAGAGATGGTATTGTACTCGTATTATACAACGGTTGAGCTACTTAGTCATGGCATTAGGAATCTGATTCAGTTGTTGCATGGATTCGTGTCTTTCTCTTTGTTTTCTTGTGTCACATCTCTTTGGATTAGAATCCCTTTCCTCGCGTCTCATTTGGATCCTTTCATTTTTCATTCTTTTCTGTCACAGATCTGGTTTCTGCATGTGAGTCCTTTGTGTCTTTCTATTTTCCGTTTTACAATCAGATGGGCTTTAAGTAATTTAAGTTCTTACTGTTTATCGGACAACATGCGCTATTATATGCCCTCTTTTTCTGAAGTCTGAACTGAATCAGTGAAACTTGGATTGGGGGTTCTTTGGTTTTAGCCCCCCCCCTTTTTTTTTTTCAAATGTTGCACTCTCACAAAACTCTATCAGTGATGATAATTCATTGGTTCAAACAAGGGTGATGTACCATCAAGTTATTGTTATGTTGCTGTTATTTGGTGCCACATCTCACATTCTCTTTGCCAATTATTGGTTCCACAATGCCGAGCTATCATGGAAATTTGTGTATTCCTTGCATTTGTCTGGTTGTGATATTGGTGTTTATGTCTTTTTAGTGAATATCAACAATTGTAATCCCTTTACGGATTACTGATTCCTAGGTTGCTGTTAATCCATTGTTCTTCTTTGACTTCAGTAGTTAAACTAGGATTGATAATTTTGGAGAAAGTGTTTTTTCGTAGTTGAGTCAGCCATTCTACATGACTTAAATGCTTGGTTGGTTTCTGTAGCAGATAGGAAAATGATGCTATTTTAACCCTTTTTTTTTTTTCAGTAATTTAACGTCTTCTAGATTATTATTAGCATTATATTATTTGGGGCGAAACAGAGAACTAATAGAACGTGATTTCTTGCCAGGTGGTTAGAGTGTGGCTCTTGAAACTTGTGAGTTCCTAGTGCCCCTTTTTTTTATCAGTGATTGTCTATGTTCGATAAATATTGATAAACTGACTATTCTGAATGTGATATGAATTTGATTTTATTTTATAGTGTCGGGCTTATCATTCCTTAAAATATATATGAGTTGGGGGCGCATGTTTCCATATTTGTGGTGTTGAGTTTATTGCTTTTGTTTTTCAGATAGTTGATTATTTCACATACAATGGACAACAAAGATGGAATACCAGTCACTCGGCCGGACAAAAGCAAGATTGTCCCTATGACAATCCTATTTGTGGTGCTATGTGGATTTTCTTTCTATATGGGTATAATATTTTGTTCTGAGGACAGATTTTTGTCAATATATGGCCAGATATCCATTAAGTCCCCCAAGAAGTCATCAATAACTCCTCTGCAAATTAAATACATTAGTTTTCCAGAATGCAGCATTGACTTTCAAGATTATACTCCATGCACAGATCCAAGTGTAAAGTTACAAATAGTAGTTTTTTTTTTTTTTATGTTATAGAGCTTGTAGAAGAAAGTTTTCTTATTGATTATGTATGCTTAAACTTACAGAGATGGAAGAAGTACATCTCCCGTCAGCCTACTTTGTTGGAACGCCATTGCCCTCCAAAATCTAAGAGGAAAGAATGCTTAATTCCTCTCCCCGATGGTTATAAGCCTCCAATTAGATGGCCAAAGAGCAGAGATGAATGTTGGTACAGGTACAATATATCACTTTTAGTTAACAATAAAAGGTTTGCTTAATTTAAATTTCCTTTAATAAATATTTTGTCACTCCTTCAAGTCTTCTGTGTTATGTCTAATTGCAGCAATGTTCCGAATGAGTGGATTAACAAGCAGAAGTCCGATCAGCATTGGTTGAAAAGGGAAGGCGAGAAATTCATATTTCCTGGTGGGGGTACTATGTTCCCAAATGGTGTTGGTAAATATGTTGATTTAATGCAAGATCTGATCCCAGAAATGAAAGATGGGACCATTCGAACTGCCATTGATACAGGCTGTGGGGTGAGTGTTTCAGCTTTTCTTTTTTTTTTCCTTTTTTCAGTGGCCTGCTGCATAAAACAATTCTTAAAGTTCCTTCAATTCTAGTTTAATTACACATGATGATTAGTTGTGCTTTTTAACTGCTGTATGAGTATAGTTTAAAATGAATTTATGTTGTACCACAAAACAGAAATGCCAATTAATTTTCATTGTGCATGTAACACCTATTAAGATGGTTTAAAGTAGAAGCATGAGGAGAGGAATGGGGGATTACAATATTTTCATTGTATTCTTCACTTGCATCACTGTTCTTTCATCATCCTGGCACTAAACTTGGGATTTGGAAAGTGCTAGTAATGTAATTTGTATTTCTTGACTCTAATTCTGATCCAGTCCTATTACTCAAACATGTGATAGACAAGAGTTACATCAATTAATCCACATAACTCAAATTTATATTATATTAGGTTGCTAGCTGGGGTGGTAGCTTGCTGGATCGTGGGATTCTAACTCTCTCTCTCGCACCAAGAGATAACCATCGAGCCCAGGTTCAATTTGCTCTAGAGCGTGGTATCCCTGCAATTCTTGGTGTCATTTCTACACAGAGACTTCCATTTCCATCAAACTCCTTTGATATGGCTCATTGCTCCAGATGTCTAATCCCATGGACAGAATTTGGTATTTTTTTTCTTGGAATTTTGAACTTTTGGTATTTAAATAGAATATATTCCTGTTAACGCAACACATTCTAGTGATCATGAACTTCAGCAATTATCAGTTTGTTGCTGCCTAATTTTGGATTGAATGCATCTGTTGTAAAATGGTTAATAATATGCCCTTGGGCTAGGTCCTATTTGTTTCAGGTTGTCAAATTCACCTCTAATATTACTGTTTTGGTGATTTGTTTTTAGTTTTCTTCTAATCTCTTTCTTCTTAGATCTGAGAAGTTTACTCTAAATTCTTGTTCTTTGCGATGGCTATCTGAATTTAGGTGGTATTTATCTCCTTGAAATACACCGGATTGTTCGTCCTGGAGGATTTTGGGTCTTGTCTGGTCCACCAATAAATTACAAGCGCAGGTGGCGTGGATGGAATTCAACTCTTGAAGCACAAATATCAGGCTATGAGAAGTTGCAGGATTTGCTGACTTCAATGTGCTTTAAAATGTTCAAGGAAAAGGGTGACATTGCTGTATGGCAGAAGTCTCAAGATAACAATTGCTACAGTAAGGGAGTTAGAGATACCTATCCTCCTAAATGTGATGACGGCACTGAACCAGATTCAGCTTGGTATACTCCAAGTCGTGCCTGTATTGTGGTTCCAGATCGTAAGTTTAAGAAATTAGGTCTGTCATCCATTTCTAAGTGGCCTGAGCGGTTGCATATTCCACCAGAACGTATTTCAATGGTTCATCGTGGGACTGCTAAAGCTTTCAAACGTGATGACAGTAAATGGATTAAGCAGACTGCGTACTATAAGAAGTTAATCCCTGACCTTGGGACAGACAAGATAAGAAATGTAATGGACATGAACACAGCATATGGAGGTTTTGCTGCAGCCTTGATCAATGATCCTGTATGGGTCATGAATGTGGTCTCATCTTATGCTACTAATACACTCCCCGTGGTTTTTGATCGAGGTCTTATTGGAACATTTCACGACTGGTAATTCAGAAATGTTTGATATGGACCATATTTTTTTCATTTTTATTTATGAACATACATTTGCTTGTTAGACTGATGTTCATTTAATTCTTTTATGGTACTGGTAATTCAGAAATGTTTGATATGAACCAGAACATTTTTTATTATGAACTTACAATTGCTTGTCAGACCGATGTTCATTTGATTTTTTTGTGGTAGGTGTGAAGCTTTTTCAACATATCCTCGAACATATGACCTGCTTCACCTTGATGGACTCTTCACTGCAGAAAGCCACAGGTGACTATGTCATGAAGAGTTATTTTCTATGAATAACAGCCATAGGGCAGTTTTCTAATACAAAACAAATAAAGAGGTGCCCTAAAGCAGGATAAGTTATTTTCTATTTACATATACTCTGAATAATAACTGCCTCCTATCTACAAATGGATCCTTGTGTATCCCACTTGATAAAATTTTGTTTTTTTAGTTGTGCCATGTCTTTTGATATGATTTTTTTTTTACTTTAAATTTTTTTAATCAAATTAATTATGACCATTGAATAATTAACTGGTGTAGATAGATATGTTTACTTTATCCTCTAAAGTGATAAGCTCACTTTAGAGGATCTTTAAAATAATAGCTGTATGTATTCGTGTTAGATTAGTTGTCAATATGTTATATTAGTTAGTTTGGACTGGGATAATGAGAGAAATAATGTATGTTGCCTAAAGGTGGAAACCCTTGAAGTTCTGTAGAGTGTCTTCTCAATTTCTCCCTCTGTTATAGTGCTCTCTCTCGCACTATCTTCTGCACCGAAGCGTTTTTGTTCTGTTTTTCATTTCTCCATGCAAGTTTGGTTCTTGATATTCAAAGCTTCGGCTACCCCTTCTATTTTCTTGCTCCCTAAAATCAATCACAACAAATAATGACCCACTCACAAAGAGAGCTTTTCCCTCCTCCTTCTCTTTAGCCCTGAATTCTTTCCAAGGTACTGATCTTTCATCTTGAAAGCCCATCAGCTCTAACTTTCCAACATTCTCGGCTTCCGCAGTAGGTTGCTTTTTCAAGGCCTTCATCTTCTTTGTTATTTCTTGCACCAGAGATTAGAGGAAAGGCGAGGTGGAAATAGACAGGTATCTTCTCAACTGAGAAGTGTTAGGGCCTCTGGGTATTGGTCTTTCTTAGCCTTCCCCTCCTCTTCACAGATTAAAAACCATACAATCTACTTTGAGTTGAACTGCGTATATGACTTGCATAGTGTGTATATATATATATATCTGTATCTATGGTTGACACAACTCATATTCTTGAATATGCCCAGAATGCTCTGACGATGATTTTTACGTTGCAGGTGTGAAATGAAATATGTGTTGCTGGAAATGGATCGAATCTTACGACCGTATGGGTATGCAATTATTCGTGAATCCATTTATTTTACGGATGCTATCACAACCATTGCTAAGGGTATGCGTTGGGAATGTCATAAAGAAGATACTGAGAATGGCAGTGACATTCAGAAGATATTAGTATGCCAGAAAAAGCTATGGTATTCATCTAACTAGGGGTCAAGATGACAATTTATGGACCTTAAGCAGTGGTAAGATGATGGTTGTTGGACTAGTAGTACAGTGGAGTAGAAGCAAAGGGAAGCGAAATCAGAGATGACTAAAATTCTAGAATATAATAAGTCGAGATTCGGTCAAGTAACTTTTTCAAAAGAACTAGTGGTAAACCAATAATCTAATTTTTAGTTTTATAGAGAAATTTATCGTATGTATATAATTATATATCATTTGGTTTCTTTTAAACACCTCCCACTACTTCAGACAAAAAAGTGTTTGTGTATTACCAAATTACTGCCAGCATGATGGAATTAAACCCAGAGGAAGCTTATGATTTCCCTTAGTGTTGCCATATCAAGGACGGTGGTATTTTTGTACAGAATTTGTTTTACAAAGAATAGCGCTGAACCTTGTATCAATGTTGAGCATGATTCAAGAATAAGATTGTTTTTATGGTGAGTTGGTAAATGAACTTATGGAGTATTTAAACTGTTGCTTTGTTTGAGAAACAATAGTTGTATTGTTAGATGAAATTTTAATTAATCTGCAATTTGATTTTAGCATTGGATTGTGTAGAAGGAGGTTATTACTAAGGTGATGGATGATGAACCCTTCTGCTTTGGAAAATTCGTGTGAATACAATGACCTGCAGCGGCGAACATTAAGATCACGCTTGTGGTATAATCCTATTTCATATTATCTGCATTCTCAAATGGGTAACACTCTAAGTGGGAGAATGCGCAAAATTTGAAGAATAAAAAGTCATTTGGTAATAACAAGAACTAAAATGACCATTACTTAAGAATTAATTTAATTTATTGCACGTTTTAAAAAATGATTTTTTTTCATAAATTTGTTATACTCGTACTTTTAAGAATTAATACAGTTTATTGTTTTTTGAAATGATGATTTACTTTTAAAATGTGATAACAGCATTTGGAATAAATGTGTTTGTTAAATATTAAAAATAAATAAGTATATTTTAAAATAAATCTAATTCTGAGTAATTGTTAGTATATTTGTTAATATTTTTAATTAATTAGAACTATCCCAAATATGATTTTTCAAGCCATTATTATACAAATAAATGACCCAAATATAGCATATAACAATTCATAATTAGATTATAATTTAAAAAGGAAATATTATTAATTTTAATTATATAAATAGATATTTATTTTGTACATCACACGAACTAAAATACAAAAATATTTAATAAACTAGTAATTAAATATTTTTAATTAATAAAAAATAATCTTCGTATATGTCCTGCAGAAATATGTATAAGAAGTTGCTTAAAATTAATTTTAAAGTGATTATTACAATTTTTTTTACTAATCTTTGTAACTAAATTCTTTAAAATAACTGCTTCTTGAATATTTATGTTTTTTTTTAAAGGTTGGCGACATGCTAGTTCGGAGCTGCGTGGCAATTTTCCTTGCTCCACCCCGTTAGGGTTTTCAGAGTTTCCAAAACCAAAATGATCCACTTGTTCTTGTCGGAGCCCAATTGGAACGACGTCGTAGACGACGACGACGATTCAACTCGATCGAGAATGTCCATTCTGAGCGACTTGGAAACCGTTATTTGGTCCGCGCTAGGTCGCGCCGAAGCGCGTTTATGGCTCTGCAACACCGTCGCGGGTTTCAACTGCGTAACTTTCCTCGATCAGCGTGAACTGTTTCGGGCTTTGCTCAGAACCCGAGGGATGAAGCGCGATTTGGCGTCTCAACTTCTGCATTTCATGTTCGACACCTCGCCGCACAAACTCGGTTCCGTTTTGGCTCAGAGGAGTCACGTGCTGGAGGTCTTTTTTCAAGGTTGGTTCTGTTTGCACATTCTTGCTCTTTTAAATTGCTGTGGGGAGTAGTTACTGAAGTTGCAGTAACTTAACAACTGAAACCAAAATATTGTGGCCAAGGTTGCTGATCACAATTTCAAGATTTTAGATTGTGATCATGTTCTCGTTGCAATGATGTCATAGGAAATTGTTGACAAATACAGGTGAAGTCAAAATGCTTTTACAGTGATTTCAAAAGCCTTGACATTGTGGCCGAAATTGTGGTTACAGGTTGTGTTTTAAAACCTTGTCTTCAATTTGAAACTTTGGTGGATAGAAACTTTGTAGGATGTTTCAGGGGTTAAACAATGCATTTTATGGTGAAGTGGATACATAGATTTGAAGGATTAAATTAATGAAACATGAGGGATAATGCATCTATGAGGGGAGAAAATTGGGTCTTTCTCCTTTGTTATACTCTTTGTTTGTTCCTTAATGCGTTCTAAGTTGTTTATAGCGATATATATCTGCTCTCTGTTTCGAACTGTGTAATATTTGTTGATTTAACCTTGTTGTGATTGTTGAATTGTTGCTGGTTAAACTGTATATATATGTGATGGGTGCTTTGGTATTCATTAAATTGGACTTACTATGATTAGTGAAATTTGTGATGACAGCAAAACAAGTGTGCGGAGCAGTTCTTTTTTGATTGAACTTCTTTTGTGGGTTTGATTGTATAACATAAGTGTGGGATGCAGGTAATCCTAAGCGAGTGTTGCAGTGGTTTTCCTGCACTTCCTCTGGCGGGGGGCTAGTGCAGGGGAAAGGTTTCAGGGCACTGTCTCAGTTTGCATTTAAAAATAGGGATATTTGTTGGGAGGAGCTGGAGTGGAAAGGAAAGCATGGGCAGTCACCAGCAGTGGTTGCTACTAAGCCCCATTATTTTCTGGATTTGGATATTCAGCGAACTGTAGAAAACTTTTTGGAACATGTGCCCGAGTTTTGGTCATCTGATGAGTTTGCTGAGTCAATGGAGGATGGTGATATTTTTTTCATTGATAGGTCATTCTTTGTGCAATATTTCATTGATTTAATGTATAAGGAGGAATTTAAAGACATCTGGGATGTTGTAAATGAATTCCTCATGAGGCAGCCCTTCTCCTCTTTGTGTGGGCGACTTCTCATTGCTCTTGAAGATCAAGACTTATGCTACTTTGTGGAAGCACTTTGTAAATCTCTTGGCCCAAGAATGGAACTTCAAGATATCAATGACATCTCTAATTTGTTTGTGATTTTAGTTTTTAAATGTGGTGCTTATGGATCTATTGACCAGTTATTGCTGCTAAATGCTGTCACTGCACAGGGGAGGCAGCTTCTACGTCTTTTACATGATGAAGAGGCTTCGGAGCCACAAGGAAAAATCAATGAAATTGTGTCAAAGATGTCTGCAATCCCAAGCAATCCTAATAGCTTGACCCCAATCTTCAAGAACAAATGTAAGATGAAGATTATAGAAGTCATAAAGTATCTGGGACTTCTGTCATGGCTTCTTTACTATAGACTGTCACAAGAATGCCAGACCCCTGAGTCTTGGGAGTCTTTGTTTATGAATAATCAAATTGGTTTCCGTAACTTTAATAAACATGCATTGATAGAAGAGGATCGACCATCAGAAGAAGATTGTTCTGGTTTTGATAGCAGTTCTTCAGTTAGAGTAAAAAGTAGGAGAAAAAAGAAGGCTAGAAAGAAGAGGAGGACCTATTATAACAATGAAGATAGTGATGATGATGAGCTGCTAGATTATGATTCTGCTAGCCATAAATTAGTTTCTCTGTCAAATACTAGAAGTTGGTTGCTGTCAACTGATGGTTACTCTTCAGGATTGAGCAGTGTAAGTCCCATAATACTTATCTTTGAATAAACATTTTTTTAGTGGATGGAATAATATATGCAACGTTAATGGTGAAAAATCTAGGATTTTATCACAATTATTCTGCTAATAAATGAGTATAAGTCATCAGAAGAAAACGAGATTCTCATTAGTAGAATTTGAAGCAGTGATTATAGACATAGAACTGCATGCTTGCATTCAAATTAAGAATGTCCGTGCCTGGTATTTGTTTTGATAGTTAAAATCTGCTGAATATCTTGATTGAATTTTAGTTTGATTCAAGGATGTACTGGCGTCTCAAAATAGTAACCATGCTGTGTTGTGTTGTACTTGTGTTAAGCTTCATAAACACTTTGAATACTCCTAGCTGCATTTTATAATTTTATTTTATTTTTGCTTTTGTCTTCTAAACTTTGGTATCGATACAGATGGAAATATCACAGTAATTAGATAAATTATAGCTTATAATGTCTATAATGACTTTTTCATTCTCAAAATGTCAGTTCTCTATTTAATTTTAAGCTTTGTGTTTTATATTAATTTTACACATTCTATCATAACCATGTCTTATGATTTTGACAATTTACCCTGTCTCTATGTTTGTGTAGTACCTTCATTACGACCCTTATCTCGTTTATCATGCTTTCTACTTTGTATGCTTAGCCTTCGATTTAATTAGCAATTGCTATAGATATTTTGGTTACTAATTTTGAACTAGTTACTGTTTGATTCAATAATTTTATTCATCTTTTAATTACCAGTTCATATATCATATTTGAACTGAATGTGCCCCTCTTCATCCAATTTGTGGTTGGTTGTATAATATTTATTGTTCTAATTTTTTAATCATTGCAGCTTTTGTAGAAGCATATGTGGGGAAATCTATTGTTCTTGATAAAGGTGAAATAAAGTGACACTACTGTTACACTGATTTTATAATATCTTCTTTTTCTAGGCAGATTTACCTGAATACCTTCATAGACAGTGCTTGTCTAGGTGGATGACATTGCTTTTTGGAAAATGAAGTCTTGCTCTGCTTCTTTGGATCCACCAAAGAGACATGCCATCATCATCTCCAAACTGTTGGGTGGCAAGATCATTCATACGTCGTCTGGGTATTTTCCACTCTTTTCATGTTAAAGCATGCTATGGCTCTTGAATCTGCTATTGGAACTTTGTACTTCATTTTGAAGATTCTTACAGAATATACTGGACTTGCTGAGATGGGAAATATCTGAAACGTAACATAAAAAGCCAACCTGAGAACTCCCTGAAAGGCATTAAAATTCGAGTTCATTGTGAAGATCTGGAATGAAATTGGAAAAAGCTTGAGTGAACGGGAACATTGTGAACATGGATGTGCTCTGTGAATTTCTCTATCACATCAGTCTAGTAGGGTCCAATGTTGCCAGGATCATTCAGATTGCTATGAAGTTCATGCTCGGGCTAGTTAAAATCTTTGAGCTCCATGACTAATTTTCTAACGGCATATTATATCTTTTGGGATTTTATACTGTTTAGCATTCCATATTTGCTGATAAAAAGACGTGGATGCATTCTCGTTATTGGAAGTTGTCTTCTTGTACTAATTTATACTTTTCAAGCTAGGCAAGGTAAGAAACACAAGGACAGATACTCAATATTGTTGTAAAATATTTGCACAATTAATAACTTTGATTTTCAACTATTTTGATAAAAAAGGATCACGCAAATTTTCACAATAAAATAGCTCACATGTTTTTAATTTTATACACAATACTCAACTCCTTTTGTTCTCATAGTCGCAGGTTTCAAAATAGTTGTCACGGTGGACCGGTAACAGAAACAAAAAATAGGTCAAGTGAAATTAAAAATACTGTTGTCTAAGTGAAATTAAAAATAGGTCAAGTTAAATTATAATATTTATAATATGAAGTATAAGCCACCCTTCACAGATATTAAGAATACAATATTTATTTTTTGATAATTTACCGTAATAAATTATAATATTATTATTCTATTATAATATATTTTAGTTCAATATTTATTGGAATATATGTTTTATTATATTATATTATTTATTCTAATTACTCTTTTACAGATAGTGAATCACCATATTTCAACATACATATTTTTGTTATGTTTGCAAGATAAATACGGCACAAAAGCATGTTTGCAAGATAAATACGGCACAAAAGCAATATAGAGAATGAGAGAGTATTTCGGTCAAAATGTCATGCAATATGGTTAATTAAACATTTTCACATGCTTGATGGACGAGTTTTGTATTTAATACAATAAGTAGGTTTTCAATTATTGTCAATGAAAATCGACATTTACGTGAAAATATATCTTATATACAATAGTATTTTCAACGTATCATATAATGTATTTTCATTCAATAAACACAAGATACCGACTATGAAATAATATTTTAATTAGTTATATTTTACCCACAAATATTAATTATATTTTTTTTTCATTAGTACGATACATCGCAAGAGGAATAACAACACCAAACACTTCAACTAACTTATTCACTTGTCGTTGATCATCTAATTATCTGTAGTTTGCTCGGTCAAGATCAGTGGCGGATCTTCTTGGGAGCTGAGAGAGCCGTGACCTCCCAAAGTTTTGTAACTCTCATATAATTTATGATTTTGCCTCCCCAAACTTAATAAATATTTATATTTTTAATTTCTTTTGCTAAACTAAGATAAATAAAAAAGTATTGCAAAGTAGTATTATGTTATAATTAAATTAAAATATAAAAAAATTAAAAGTACTACAAAATATGAATAAAATATTTTTGTCACATCTTCCATGACACAATGTTTAGTATATCATCAAGTGAGATATATGGATTCTTATCGGCTAACCGTACTTACACCTCAGAATCCAACCCAAGAAGAAAAACATAACAATAGTGATATAGAATCACAACAAACATATATGTCTCTCAATAAAACCAAAGACTTAGACAAAATTAAAGATCACCTTGTGAAACATACTCCCAACATTAGATTATTTTTTGTATTACATCATGTAATTATTTCTATTAATATCTGTTATTTTGTTAATTAATTTTATATTTTTAATTTCTTTTGATAAACTAAGATAAATAAAAAAGTATTACAAAGTAGTATTATGTTATAATTAAATTAAAATATAAAAAAATTAAAAATACTACAAAATATGAATAAAATAAAATAAAATTCAAAGTCATTTTAAAATTAGAAAAAAAAATTGAAAGTCGTACTAAATGAAACGATTTTAAAATAAAAAAATTATAAATCAGCATAAATCATGTATGATGAAACAATTTTTGTATACAAAGTCATCTTTCTTAGCATGACTTATCCATTTTTGTAAAATTAAAAAAATTTGCACCAATAAAATAATATTCGACTTAAATTACACCATATGGATAAAAAAAAATGGCCTTGATAGAGGGTGATTTAAAGTTTGGATGTTAAACAATTTAAGAATTTATTTTCTCATTAGTTTTTGGCAATTAAGGAATAGGTGGAGCAATAACACGGAGCAACACTAAGCATACGAGCTTCCACTTTCTCACGTACCCTTGCTTCTACTCATGAAAAGAGACTCAATGACTTCACATAGTGGATTCGCATCGTTTTAGTGGATTTTAATTGCACATATTTTCAATTAGAAAAATTGTTCCACAACAGTTATCACAATAAAAAAAATATGATTTTTTAAATATTATAATAAAAATAACTTATAAAAAAAAAGTGCGTGTACCAAAAATATTTATCAAAATTGATATCATCTTTCTATAATAGAATTTTCATATACGACATCCATCTCTATCTAAAACTTTCACGTTTCAACAATACATCATGTATCATACATATATTTTAAAAAATGAATAAAACGTAAAAAAAAAAATAATAGTTAAGAACAATTCGTTAGGGTTCTTTTACTAAATTTTGTACTGTTTAGGGTTAAATTAAAGTATTTTTGCTTTGCAAATACTTTATACCTTAGTGGGCTATCCCCACCATAATTGATGTGCTTAAACCTTAAATAAACATAGTCGGTCCCACATCGTACAGCTGTTTCTTTGGGGCATTTTTAATGCTTTCCAAATAAAAGGAAAGGGTATTTCATTTCATCATTGTCTTCTTTTATGCGCATCACCAACCTTCACTATCCACGCATTACTAGCTTCATTCATAATATTTTTTATATATTTTATCATTAAAAATTATTAGAAATATAAAATATAAATTAAAACAAAATATGAGTTAATGAAGGGTTTAAAGCGATAAAATATTTAAGGGTTATATATATATATATATATATATATATATATATATATATATTTAGTCTCTAAAAGTGAAATTGGTATTTGAATTTTTAACATTATGTGTTAAGTTGGTTTTAAAATTTATTCTATTATTTTTAATTAATAATTGATAACATTGACAAGCATTTTTATAATATCAAATATCAATATATCTCCAAATATTTAACTTGAATGATTAATGATACAAAATACTAAAAAACAAATAATTTAATCTAGTATTAAAACATCACTATTCCAAATAAAACCACATGTCGAAAATCATCACAGACGTTTTTCTTCTTTTGTCACGGAATCATCATCACAAATTATGTTTGGAGGTTGACTTTAGCATTTAACCATGAATTTAGGCAACTTGCGTTTCCGTATCATGAGCTTTTCAAGAAAGTGCTTGTACGCGCAGAGCGCACGCGCTGCCTTTCTATCAAAGGGAGAACCCTCCGTACCCACTTTTATTCCGAAGTTTCAACGTGGGATTATCCAAAGAAACTTTTGAGGTATTTTCTTTCTAAAATCAGCCAAAGAATGAAACAATTATAACAAATTGAGAAAATAAAAAGTTACTTAAATATTTATCTGACAAAAACAAGTCATGAAAATTTATTTATAAATTTGAGAATAAAATTTACCAAATTAAATGAAAAATTTACATTTACATAAAAAATATACTCTACCCTCTTGTAATAGGTTCTATATATAAGTTTTTGGATTTGAGCCTCCTCTCTCGTGTCCACTTTGCCTTCTAAAATGGAGAAAACAAGGCCTTCAGACCAAGTTGTTCTCTTCATCGACCAACATAATCCTAAACCAACCTCCATGGAAGCAGAAAATTATCAAGAGAAACCCAAGCACCCCTTAAACGTCAGAACTCTCAACCGTCTCAACTTCTCAAAACCCAAATCCCGAATCCAAGAGTACAACTATGTTCCCCGCAACAAACTTGCAAACTCTGAAGAAGGTGACATTATCCAACCCACCTATAAGCTCACTTCCAATGACGAAGACGACGACGACGACGACGACGATGACCGGAAATGGGACAAGGAGGAGATGGAGGAGGATGGCTCAGAGCATGGCCCAAAGTTGCACCAGAAGAGGAATTTCAAAATCAAGTGGAGACTCATCATGGAGTGGGTTTTGTTTCTCAATATATTGGCATGCTTGGTGTGTTCTTTGACCATATCTTCCATAACCAACATGCACGTGTTGGGATTGGAGATTTGGAGGTGGTGTTTGATGGCAATGGTTACATTCAGTGGTCGTCTATTTTCAGGTAGTGAGCTTGATATATAGAGAGATAAATAAGATTTTTTTTTATAAATTTAAATTAAGATTTACTTGGTGATGTAGAATTGATTGATGTTATAGTTATCTTTGACATGTAACAGTTTCACCAAATGGGGTTGAATGTTAACATATTTTGGTTTGGTGTCAGGGTGGCTAGTTGGTGTCATAGTTTTCGTCCTTGAACGAAACTTCATGCTAAGGGAGAAGGTGTTGTACTTCATCTACGGGCTTAGGAATAGCATAAGAAACTGTTTGTGGTTAGGCCTGGTGTTACTCTCCTATTGGAGCTTGGTATTCGACGATGTCCAAAAGAAGAACCACAAGTTTCTGAACAAGATGTTTCAGGCGTTGGTGGCGGTTCTGGTGGGCGCAACCATTTGGCTGGTGAAGATCGTGCTGGTGAAGATGCTGGCATCCTCGTTCCACGTGACCACATACTTTGACAGAATGAAGGAGAGTGTTTTCCACCACTACATTCTGGATACGTTGTCGGGTCCACCCATGGAGGACGCTGAGGAGATATTGCGGCAGCACCACCTTACGGGGTCCAAGTCCATGCCTGCGAGGTTGAAGATGAAGGAGGCAAAGAACTTGTACAAGTCCACGAGATTTGGGTCGAGGAGGATCGACATGGAGAAGTTGAGAGAGCTAAGCATGGAGAGCACTGCGTCTGCATGGAGTGTGAAGAGGCTTGTTAACTATGTCAGATCTTCGGGCTTGTCTACCATTTCCAGGACTGTGGATGATTTTGGCAATGCTGAGTCTGAGATCAGTAGCGAGTGGGAAGCTAGAAACTGTGCTCAGAGGATTTTCAAGAATGTTGCAAAACCTGGTGCCAAGTAAGTGCATATTGTAGTATTATTATTATTATTATTATTATTTGTTTAGATGAAGGTATTTTTATTATTGAACTTGAGCTAACTATATTGAAAAGTGTTGATGCAAAAAATAAAATAAAAAATTAATAAATTTTATATTTGATTTCTCATTACTATTTTAAATATAAAATCAAACGCAAAGCTAAAAAGGAATACGTTAATTATGTTGAGCCAAAAATCAAACCTAATAATTGAGCTAAACTAATTAACAAACATATTTTATAATAAGGCGATCATTAATTGAGAATTATTAATAATTCTATGAATCAATATAATAGTAACATTTTGTTTTCCGTTTGTTGGAGATGTATGCAAACTGGGGTGAGATTTTGTTGATTCTATCATCGTTTTTTAACCCGAACGACGTCGAAAACGTGGTTGTGTGTGTGGATTAAAAAGTTGAGCATTTCATGAGACAAAATTTGCAAGCCACTAAAAGTGGAGAGCACTAGTGATTAAGGTACTTTTATAGTTTTATTCTTTCATAGGTCTGATTGGAAGTGCAGTTTCGGACCTAGGTGTAATGGCACAATATATTGTGGGTTTGGACCCCTCTTCATTATTCTTTTTGTTTTGTTTTGTGGTCCATATCGTGACCTCTTAAAATATGGTAGAGAGCTAAGGTGTGTTGGTGTTTGTGACCGTGACCCCAACCATCGTGCTGGTTCATTTCGTACTGTGTCAGTGGTCCATTACTTTTGTGTTTCTCTGCTTCATTCATCCATCCATTTCCGCAATTTGTGCTCAGTGCCACTGCGTCATGCCGCAAAAGAAAGAAGGCAAATTTACTTGTTTTCCAATCCAGTTTATATATGATGTTTCAAATTTCTCATTCTTTTCTCTCTCTCTGCACAATAGTGGTGTGTCAGATTCATTTTTTTCAGCAACGCGACAAGGACTTTCTGTTAAGATCTTCTTCCATTTTGGTGCAATCTTCTAAATTTAGTGCCCAAGCAAAGCACTATTGATGTATTATTCTCCATATTCTCTATAATTAAAATTGACACAAGTCATTGTGCTGGTATACTTGACTTTCTCTTCCAAAAATATATCATTGAAATAAGTAATTAACATCTGAACAAAATTAAATAGCACCAAGTAAATATATTATGAATGGGATATATATTAACAGTGATTTAAAATATGATGATTTGTAAATTATTGAAGGTATATTGAAGAGGAGGATCTTATGAGATTTTTGAAGAGGGTTGAGATACATACCATATTTCCACTCTTTGAAGGAGCTCTTGAAACGGGACAGATCAGCAGGTCTTCATTCAGAAATTGGGTGGTAAGTTTTTGCTTTTTAAAAAAAATAAAAATCTGTTTTAACTTTATGAGAATTATTTGAAGGAAAATTCAATGAAACAGAAAGTTAGTATGTGAAAACGAAATATTAAATGATTGTCATCTTAATTTTTGTGTTGATATTCAAAGAGAAAAGTGCATTAATAAGCTCCATATAAACTGTTAAGAGTTTTTTCATAAGAAGTGTTTGGTATAAAAAATTAACATGTAAGAAAGTTATTTTTTTATCAGATTCGAGCATATTATGAACGAAAAGCCCTAGCACAATCACTGAATGATACGAAAACAGCAGTGCAACAGCTTCACAAAATAGCAAGCGCAGTTGTTAGTGTGATAATAATCATTGTGATGCTTTTGGTGATGGAGGTGGCCACCCTCAAGATAATATTATTCTGCATCACACAAACAGTTCTCATAGGTGTTGCCTTCCAAAGTACCTGCAAGACTGTTTTGGAGGCCATCATCTTTGTCTTTGTCATGCACCCTTTTGATATTGGAGACCGTTGCGTCATTGATGGAGTTCATGTAATTTCACAACCTTTCTAAACCACTTATTTTCTCATAAATGTTCAAAAATTTACTTCATTATGTGCTTACATGCACTTGCAGATGATCGTGGAAGAGATGAACATCTTGACAACAGTGTTTCTTCGATATGACAATGAGAAAATATACTACCCTAATTCAGTTTTGCTCTCTAAGCCTATAAGCAACTTCTATAGGAGTCCAGAGATGGGGGATGCTGTCGACTTCACCATTGATGTTTCAACTTCCATGGATACCATTCTTGCCCTCAAGAAATCAATACAAATGTAAGTTCTTTAATTGTGTATTGGGATAAATTTGTAACCACCCTTTCATTTTGTTAACATTTGACATGATGAGTTTAGGTACATTGAGAGCAAGCCCAAGTATTGGAATCCAAAACACAGTTTGATAGCCAAAGGAATTGATAATATGGACAAGCTAAAGTTGGCCTTATGTGTGCAACATACTATCAACCATCAGAACTACGGTGAGAGAAATATTAGGATGACAGAGCTTCTCTTGGAACTGAAGAGGATCTTTGAGATCCATGATCTCAAGTACCATCTTCTTCCTCAGGAGATTCAGATCACCCGTATGAATATTGAACATGGCAAAGATCTGTTTCAATCATGAACTGTGGTTAATTTCCATCTCTCTGCATTTCCCATAAATAATTGCCCCAACAATATCACTTGGTTAACTACTCTCAAACATCAATTCTACTATATGCTCTACGTTGCCCTATGTTATCCACGTGACTTGTTGTGCTATGATCTATTAATTTGTGAATAAAAATACCATGTATTTTTATGGTCTGGTATGTACATTTCAATATTGTTTTCTTGCATACGTTATTGGAGAGTAACTGTTAATACTAATAGCTTTTTATATAAGACAGTTGATGAACAGAAAGCTTGTGTTGTTATTTTATTGGGCAGTATAATACTTGTCTGTGGATATATATGAATAAACTTATGTTTCATTTTATTCGTAAGATTTCTTTAGAAAACCTAAATCCACTCTATCCACTTTGATCCTAGGAGCTTCCAACACAATTCATTAAATTTTTAGATCCAGCATTTCCCTGAGATTCCACCATGCAGCCAACGTTTCGTGAGCCAGCATTCAAATTTTCAATTTTTTTGGTATCACTCATTATAAATGCTAAAGAATATATTATAAAAAAAATATATATATTTGATGACTAACGGAAATGCTAGCTACAACGGTGGTTGATGGCTCACGACAATTTTGGCTATTGCCGTGATAATTCATGAAAGTGTGGGTGTTGTGGTAGTGGTTTGAGATGTCTGAGTATTACGATGATGACTTCGTAGAGGTGACACATTGCGTCGTTGGTCTCGCTGTGGTTGACAATGGCTAACAATGCTTTTTAATTGAAAAAAATAAAATAAGTGGGTTATCTCATAATTATAATTCTGCAAACATAAAATCCAATCAACAATATTTTTTAAACAGAACATTCAATTTTTTTTAAATATTTCTTAAACAATCTTAAAATATTAATTTTTTAATTGATTGATTAAAAAAATAGATAAATAATAATATGAAAATTTAAAAATGTTATTAAATGGATATTTAGGAAAAAAAAGTTGTTAAAATATCATTCAAACTTAGGGTTGCCGTGAGAAGAGAGGGTAAAGAGGAACAGAGTGAGGAGAATCTGAATATATAGAGGTCCAATAGGTTTTGTTTGTGCTTCAAGAAGTTGTCGACATTTTGGGTGAATTTACTCTTCCCTTCCCCTATTCTTCTGTGCTCTTCTCTGCATTTTTCTCTTTTTATAAAGAAGCTAAAGACGAAACGCAAAAATATACATGTTGTGCAAAGAATAAAAAAATAATCCTAATGCACACAAATCGCGAAAAGTTTGACGCAATAAAAAAAATATAAAAGAAATGAAATACAATATATCCTTAATGTATTTTGAGGTGGGTGAGATATGAAAAATAAAGACCCATATAATGATATATATAAATAAATGAGAGATGAAAGATTAGATATGAGAAGTCTTTTTTAAGTATATTGTTATTCTGAGTTAAATATATATATATAGGTAAAATAATAATTGATTTATATTAGATAAGTATAAATTTTACCTGTTCCGAAGTTAATAGAACTAGGATGATTTTAAATTATTACTGCGTCTATGTATTGTATACTAAGACTATGATTATATAAAATTTAAAAAGAAATTTGACAATGTTTTATAAATCATAAAAATGTAAAAAAATGAATATTATAAAGATAAAAAAGAATGAAATAAAATTGTTATTGTCAGAGTCTAAAGATAAATAAAATTGAATGAAATATTAATTAAGGATAGGTAGAGTATCCAAAATAAGAATGTACGTTAATAAGATAAATTAGCTCAGATTTCTTAATTTAAATAAGGTATAAAATTAAACTATAAGATATTATAAGATATGCTAAAAATTTATTTATAAAATAGGAGTGTACTTTACTCAAAGAAAAATAGTGAAGAGTTGGTTGGGGAAGAAGAAGAACACAAAAATAAGAGGGTAGGAAATATCGGAATATTGACTTTATTGGCGTTGGGTTGGGTTTGGTGCAGGAGAGAGAGGGAAACTCTGGATTCCACCTCTTCCCGTCCTTCGTGACGGTGCTCTTCCTTCGAATTCTTCAGGTTTTTCCTTTCTTCTTCTTTCACTCTTCATGCGTTGCGGATCGGATCCGATCTTAATTGCATTTATGCGTGCTTCCATTCGTTATTATCATTGCAGCTATCTTAATCATTCTTTAAATTTTACCAGAGAAGAATGTTAATATAAAATCCCCCTTTGTTGATTGAGAATGGTTGCCGTTTCATGGTGTGGGATTGATTCAACATTCTTGAAGGTTGTTGCAGAAGCGGTTGAGTGTGGTTTACTTGATGTATTTTATGTGTTAATTAGGGTTTCCGAGATTGGATTTTCTTGTGAAAGCTCATTCTTGTCGGTATTAATGGTTTTCAATTTCGTTGCCCTTTAGGGAATTTAATGGGCATATTGTTTGCTAGGTGAATTGGCGCGTCATGAATTCTCTGGATTATTGCTTTTGGCTTGATTGGAACGGTAGTAATTGTTCTTTTTCTTTGTGTTCTGCGTGCGTTGGTAGAATTTTGCCAAGAATGTCATTGGGTTTTTTTATATGTTTAGGCCTTATTATGATTGGGTCCCTCATCCTTGTGATGATTTTTTTTGCGGTGTTTGGTTAAAGATCGGAGTGGGTTTGTCTTTTTGGCGCAACTGAAAGCTTAATTCTGTGTCTTTTGTGAACAATTTTCAATTTTGATGCTCTCTGGAATTTCGTGAATGATATGTTTTGTAGGTAAATTAACATGTCATGATGTCTCGAGTGTAGTTCTTTGGATTAATATGGATGTGCGTAAATGGTTTTTAAGTTAATTATATTTTATACATTATACATTATACATTTTTCATTTACTTATAATTCAATTTCGGACTTGCAAATTAGTTATTATGTTTGTTCTGTCCATTGTAACTTGTTTGAATGTCCGGAGTATTTTTGTAGAGTTTTTAGTTGATATACTGCTATAATTATCTAGTAAATTTTCTACGCCTGCAAAAATTTAAATTTCCCTTGGATTTCAAGTTTTAAATTTTGGCGACAAAATCAGAAAATGTAAATGAAATCTATTTTAATTGGGCATTGATGCTGCACACCCTATAATTTTGATTTTCTTATAGCATTAGAGGCAAATTCCCTGTCCTTTCTGTCCTTGTTGAGATTTCTATTTTTGTTTGACATTTGCATTATACATTGTAGATTGTTAATCTAAACGGAGGTTCGCACATGTTATCTAATTGTAGGGTGATCTGGATTTGAATCGTAAGGTTCCTGACACATTTTTTGAGACATGGAAGGAATTTGTTTCTTGCCAAGTTACTTCCAGTATTGGTTGCTTTCATTCCAAGAAGTGCTTGACCGCCGATTCTTCGTCCTTGGAGATTTTCTTCTTGTTTCCTTTGTCAATTGCACCTAGTTTTTTGTTCTACGTTCATGATCAGCACAGTGTACTCAGTGCTTGTTTCTTCTGAGACCAGTGCTGCATCTTTAGGGAACACATACAAGTAAGAACTTATTTATCTTTGGCTGGGAAACCTATAAAAAAGTTGTTTCTTAATAAGTTTTTCCTTTGATAGTGCATGCCTGACCCAACATCCAGTTGAATCGTCTGAAAAATACACTTCTGGGGTAAGAGATTCATCAGGGAACACTTGTTTGTCACCACCTCCACCTGTTTAAACTTACTAAAGTTTAACTGAACCTTTTCTTTGTTTTACAGGGCTGAAGATATAGATGTGTGAATCTTGGATGCTGCCTAAGCATTTTCGTTGAAACAGTGCAGAAAGTACTTATATACCATCACTGCATTGTTGTTTCTAATGGATATTGGTGGTGACAGAACATAAGTTACCTGACAATTCTGAAATTATGTAGATTAGATGAAGTGGCTATTATTGAAGTCCTAAAGTCTTTGGGTCATGATGAATTTAGCTGAAGATTGATGTTGCTTTGATCCATCATTTTTGGTTGGACCTTGGAATTGATAGTATGTTCTCCAGGACTAGTGTGATTTTACCACCTGCATCCTGCTACCATTACGAAGTCGTGGTTCTATTAATCAATAAGGCTATGCTGCCCTTGCATCAGAAAGTTTATGTTTTTTATTTCATTGCCATGATAGAGAATTGACAGTGAAATTTGCTGGACCATCTAATACATTTCAACATTTTCAACCCTTTCCTTGGCATTGTCTACTAGAGATAAATGCCATCTATCTGTAGTTTGTATACCATTGTTTTTTGAATAAGAGCTGCTTTGGATTCTGTGGGAAAATGGAGAGGTGAGTATTTGTTTCAGAAGCCAGAATTTGCTATTCGCTCTTTTTTACTGTTGAATATCTTCATTTTTTTCTCCTTTCCCTGAACACAGGTACAAGTTAATTAAGGAAGTTGGTGATGGAACATTTGGGAGTGTTTGGAGAGCCATTAATAAGCAAAGTGGTGAAGTTGTAAGTATGTTTGGAGTAGAATTATATGTGAAGTTGCATTGTGTGTTTCATCCAATTTGTCATAAAATTACAGGTTGCAATAAAGAAAATGAAGAAGAAATATTACTCTTGGGAGGAGTGTGTAAACCTGAGAGAAGTCAAGGTGTCACATTCTTTTTGATCTTTCCTTAGTCTTATTTTTTCACATATTTTATATTCTTCTGTCTATATTTATTCTCTGATTTCTCCTATGGCAGTCATTGCGAAAAATGAATCATCCAAATGTTGTGAAACTGAGGGAAGTTATTCGAGAATGTGACACTCTGTGCCTTGTTTTTGAGTACATGGTGAGTGGCTGGATTTCTGTCATATTAGCGGCTGTTGTAAAGCCTAATACTAACTGTTTAAGTCAATATTGGGCATTGTAGGAATACAACCTGTACCAACTTATGAAAAACCGGGAAAAGCTGTTTTCTGAAAATGATGTTAGAAATTGGTGTTTTCAAGTTTTCCAAGGTTTAGCTTACATGCATCAGCGGGGATACTTTCATCGTGATCTGAAGCCAGGTACATGATTATCATATTATACAATTGTAGTATGCTGTATGATGAAATAATATGGTTTGGTTTATATTATATTGCTTGGAATGGATGCATTGTTAGAATTTTATTCTCTTATTGCTAAATTTTCTATTTTGTTATCTATTTTAAACATATTTTTTAATTGCTGCCTTCTGGATAATTGAATTAAATATCATGAGATAAATTAAGATTTACATATCTCTATTGCTCTGCTGGAAAATTTTTCTGTCTTGACTTGAGGTATACTTCTTTTTGCAGAGAACTTGCTGGTCACCAAGGATGTCATCAAGATTGCTGATTTTGGCCTAGCCCGAGAAATCAGTTCACAGCCACCCTATACCGAGTATGTCTCCACACGGTGGTATGTTTTCTCAACTCAATCTTTATTATTATTGTATATGTATGATACACTATTTCTTATGCTTGTAATTTAATATGTATCATGACCTCTTATCAGGTATCGTGCTCCTGAAGTCCTACTTCAGTCCCATCTATATGGATCTAAAGTTGGTAAGTATCTGATATTGAATATTTATGTTGACTTATGTTTTCCAAAAGAACTATGGTCTAGAGTCTAGACAATGCATTACTAATGGGTTGAGTACCTTACGTATATCAATTTTCTTTCATATCTTAGATATGTGGGCAATGGGTGCTATTATGGCTGAGTTGTTTACTCTCCGTCCTCTATTCCCCGGTACCAGGTATTAAATTCTCTCTCCACTTGTGCAACTTACCATATGGTGCTATTTAGTTAGATAAAACTAATAAATCTTTATTAGGGAATTTAGAAATCTGTGATAGTTGGGTCCACTCTGAACAAGTTACCATGTCCAAGTCATGACTGGATATTTTTATTTTTGCAAATTATTTGTTTTCAAATTGTCATTACTTTATGGGATGATATCTATAATTCCATATAAGTGGCATACTTCTCTGCAGCATCCAGTTAAGTGACTTGGCTTTAAATTAACATGTTCCATTATGGCTTTACATGCAGTGAAGCAGATGAGATCCACAAAATATGCAGTGTAATAGGTAGTCCAACAAATGAATCTTGGGCAGATGGACTCAAGCTTGCCAGGGATATCAACTATCAGTTTCCGCAGGTTCTTTTCTTCTTTAGCTGTTTCTGTTTTTGTGCTTTGCTTTGGGATTGCTAGATACTAGTGATATGCTAGGTGTGACATGTGAAGCAATTATTTTATTGACATAAACTTGTGTTCTGGGTAATTTCAGAGTCTTATATCTAGTCTTTTTAGTAAATAGTTCTTATGTTTAAACTATGCAGCTTGCTAGTGTACATCTCTCTGCTTTGATTCCATCCAGAAGTGATGATGCAATCAGCCTTGTTACAGTGAGTACTTTTACTTTTATTACTCGTATGTTTAGTCTGGGCCCCCTTTTTTCAACTAATGGAATGCTTTGTATTCATTTTTCTGTTTGAATTGTATATTTGTAGTCACTTTGTTCATGGGATCCCTGCAAGAGACCAACAGCAGCAGAGGCTCTTCAACATCCTTTCTTCCAGGTTGTCTTTTAACCAATCCAATCTTTGGATAAGTTTTGTGAAAAAATTTCTTTTATCTTTTAATCACACGACTATATGTTAATTTCTGTAATTAGGCTTTTAATATTTTTGCTTTTTGATTTGTGTAGAGTTGCTTTTACATCCCTCCATCCCTTCGCACGAGATCTGTGACTAGAACTCCTCCATCTGGTTAGTTTATAATTTATATTGTTTTCTAAGGAATGGATTATGGTTCAATTGGAAGGGATACAAACTGCTTGTTGTCTTTTTATTTTGTTGCAGCTGGGACCAGGGGTTCACTGGATCGGCAGGGGCTCAAGAGACACTCTGGTGCTTTGCCTAGTACAAAAATCGCCAAGAATTTTTCTTCCCCAAAATTACAAGCTTCTGTAACTTCAGGTGATATAATTGGTTTCGGCCATATTTTTAAGTTTAATACATGCTGCATATTTTTTATTCTTGCATCTGTAGATCTGAGTCATAGTATTATTACTCGATAAGGTCAGAAATATCTAGTTGGTGTATGAGATGGGAAATCTGACAGAGATTTCCCAGAATGGATTGCCTACATTGTTTAAATTGCTACTTTATATTGCAATAATGGAAACAATAGTAATAACCATCAATAGCCTTTTCCCAGAATAGATAAATAAAACGTAGTACTCTTGCAAATTACTTCTACAGATGAACTATCTAATCTAAATCTTTTTAATGGTCTGGCCTAATAAGGCTTTTTGTGGTCTTCCTCCCTCCATCTCTAATTATTAAGACTATTCTATGTTGTATCATACTTCTTAGTGGGCAATTTACCATTATGTGCTTGCTTATCCTGACTTGCTTGCCCATGCTATACCCTATCCGTCTTGTGTTGTGTGTTCACCATCTATCCGAATTTTTTTTTTATGTTGACACTTTTATAATTGCTGCGTTTTTACTACTTCGCATTCTATCCTGTACAACATTTCAAGTCATACTGTGTTGTAAATTTTTTCCTTAAGTTTGAGTGGTACTTTTCTATTACACAACATGGTGAGTCATTACTCCATTTTATTCATTTTCTTTAAATTCTACGACCTCCTATTTCGTCATCATTTTGTGGGATAGACTCAAGATATTTGAACGCTGATGTATGGTATAGTATGGTATGATCTCTCCAGTTCTCACATACATTTGAATCATATGTATCACCAACCAAACTTCCATGTATTTGATCTTCTATTGAAACAAAAGTCCTACCCTTTTGAATATCTATTTTCCTATTTATTTCTTCTCTCCTGTCTGGAAGCAATGAAATTATAAATTCAGCTCAGCTTTTTTATGTTCTTGAAAGTAGAGAAAAAAGGCCCTATTTTTAGTGTTTCACATGTTTAATGTGCTCAGAGCTTGATACTCATTTATTTCTAAACATTACAGGTGTGCAGCGGAAGCTGGATTTGGCTAACGTGGTGAGTTGTTCAGTCTTTCTACTTCTGCCCTTATCCCATTTTGTTTACTAATTCTTGCCCTACCCACCCATGCCATCTTTTGACTCATTGAGTGTCTGGTTTCCACCCGTGCGTTTTACTTGTTGAATATCTGGTGCCCACCCATGCCTTCTTTTAACTCATTGAATGTGGTGCCAAGATAAGTTTAAGATCTCATAATTTTGACTCCTCTTCCGCCTTGTAGAGTTGCTCCTTTTGGTGTTACTATGTTGGACTGATATACGTTGTTCACCCATAAATTGTGTTCTGTCAGATTTTGTTCTGCTAATATTAATTGTTTCTTCTGAACTGAAGGACAAGAACAAGAAGTCATTGAAGACTACTCAACAATCAAAATATCGATTACCAGGAAAAGACAGCCCGAGTAAGCTTTTAGTCCTCTGATAACCATATTCATTTAAGCGCATCATTACTTAAAGTTTATTTTCATTCATAATGTGTTTGGCAGCTTCTATAAACAAGGGGAGGACTGCACGCGGGGTTTCAGAAACCACTGAGAAGGTTGCCAATATGTCCATTGGTACGCGAAGACAGTCCTTTGGACATAGCCGTCCACCGCCTCCAATGAAGGCTGGAGTCAATTGGATTTCTGAATCTGGAAACTTCATGCTGAGGTCAGGACAACAAATTCCAGCTGAGAGAAAAGTTGCCGGCTGAGATTACTTATGGAGAATCTTTGATAGATCCATATTTTAAATGTGCCAATTACACAAGTCTTCCAATGATGAATATTATGGGTTTGCACCTGCTTTGTTGAGTTTGGTGATGATTTTTGTTACTATTACGGGTTTGGTATAAATATTTGTGCGGATGTGTTTAGTCTTGTATAAAAGGCTTTGGAATGTGTGGTACCGGAATAAACCAAAAGCTTTGATTTTATATTTTATTTTAAAAATTATGTTTTTCGAAATTATAAACCTCAAATCTTGTTTTGTTTTCTTTATAAACGTATTTTATTTGACATCAATTTTTTAATTGTGTAGCTATTATCTATTGAAAATAACACTTCATTTTTTTTTCCTGTATGTTTTAAAGGATGAAGTGAATTTATTGTTGAATTTACATTAACACTGAACAACTTAATTATTTATTTAATAACTCATCAATTATGGTTCTTTTAGGATCATGGTGATTTGTTGAAATGAGTTCAAAATGCCAAGCAAACATAGAGAAAATTAACAATAGAGGTCAGAGACTTGACAAAAAAGGCATGTAATATTGACTTGCAAAATAAGGCGAGGGAATAACAAGCATGTGGAATCTTGGTCAATCCTTACTAGAACAGTGTTCTATTTCACATTGTAGCCGAGAGTGGTTCATTTATTGGTTTTATGCATGTCTACTAAATATTTAACATGCATCCTCGTTGTTTTCACCTTTTGACTTTGTTCTTTAGGTGATCATGTTCTGCATCCTTGTGTTGTCTACCTATGAATGATATTTGTATGGTTGATCATAAAATTTTTCTATCTAGATTTCTTGGAGAAAATGTAGGATTTTACAATAATACATGTGATTTATCATAGATGTGCCTCGTAACAACTTTGTGGCACATGTGTTGGCGTTCTATTGGAAACAGTGTATGGAGTAAAATTGAGTCTAATGACGTATTGTGTTCCTATGATTCAATTGTCGACAATGGATACTTGCTTGGTGCTTGTTATGTGCAACATTTTTGTTATCACAACTTGTGTCTAGTAATGAAGGCTACATGACTGAACTTGTTATTAGGCATATTGTTAACAAAATTAAATGTCTAGGTAAGAAGGAAGAAAACAAATAGTTAGTTGGTTAGGAGGTTATAGTCTTCCTAACAGGAAGATTATATATAGGGGGGTTTTGTTGATGTGGGGTATGCTTTTGGTATGTTGAGAGTATAGACAGGATTCTTAGTGTCATATGAGAAGGGGAACATCATCCCTTGACAGTGTTCTTATTATATGCCTATTGAGAAATGAATAAACGAGGTGTATACAGTTTTATGAGGGTGTTCTTGTGTTTTTTGTAAGTGAACACGTCTTTGAACCAATTTTTTCTATCAAAAAACCTAACAATTTGGTCAACCTGTCGGATCTGAAAAAGGGAAAATCTTAGAAGGAATAATTGTTGCCTTGGAAAAATTGGTCAGCAAGTATGGGAGGATCATCTCGAAAATGCAAGATAATTTTCAAGAAATCAAAGACTTGTTGAAACACTTCAAGGAAGAAAAAACAACTCGGAGAAAGGTGAAAATTCTATAAATGGGGGAAGAAGAGGAGAAAGGACGATGATTATTAAGGAATCTGATTCGGATGGTGGGAAAGAAGAGGTGCAGTGTCAATAGATGAAGAGAGTGGAACTGCCAACTTTAAAAGGAAATGATTCAATGGGATGGATTGCAAGGGCATAATTTTTTTTTTAAATCCAAAACATTTCTTCAAGGGAGAGAATTCACTTGACATTCATTAGCATGGAGGGTAGTGCCAACCATTAGTTTAGATTATGGAAAAAGAAGGCCAACAATCCTTCTTGGGAGGACTTTACCTAAGCATTAACTTGTAGGTTTGGAGTCAAGGAAAGGAGTATTGTCTTTGAAAAATTGGCGGCAATAAGGCAAAATGGTGGAGTGGAAGAATATATTCAGGAATTTGAGATGTTGGTATCACAAATTCCAAACTTATCCTAAGAGTAGCTACTGGGGTATTTTTTTTGCTGGATTGCAGAGTGGAATTATGAGTCAGATTCGGCCACATGATCCTAAGGATTTGATAAGGGTTATGGAGATCGCAAGGGATGTGGAAGATTCATTAAAATAAACCAGACCAGGAGAAGGAAGTGCATATCGAAATAATAATTATAATTTTTGTATCAAAGAGGAATGGGGACAGTATCAAGAACGAAAACATTCCAAGGAGCTGGAAATTCACAAAGTGCTGAGCCAAGAAAGAAAGGGGAGAACATCTGTTGGGTTCAAGGGTGGAGGAAACTCAATGGAACGAGTCAGGAGCAGAAGGGTGCGAAATCTGCCTTATCTAGAATACATCAGGAGAAGGGAAGAAGGAAGATATTTCCATTGTGGAGGAGCGTAGAGTCTACGATATCGGTGTCCAGATAAGAGTTTAAGGTTGGTGATTGTAGCAAAAGATGAGGAAGAAGGAGGTAATGGGGAGGAAGTAAAGGAAAAGGAATTAGAGAACATGGAGCACAAAAGGATTAAGTTGTCTTTATTTTTAGCAGGGGGCTGGCCTAGACTAATACAATGAAGTTGCAAGGATGGGTTAATGGAAGGAGAGTGCTGATCTTGATAAACAGTGTAGCCAACCATAATTTTATCTCCTCAAAATTAGTGGCTATATTGGGGTTACAGATGGAAAACATATCACCTTATTGTGTCAAATTGGGAGATGGTCATAAAAAGCAAACTAGTGGATGCTATAAGGATATAAAAGTGCAGTTGGAAGATCACACGGTGAAAAAGACATTTTTCTTGTTTAATTTGGGTGAAGTAGGTATGATTTTGGGAGTAACATGTTTAGTGTCATTGGGGGAGGTTAAAGTCAACTGGATGACTTTAACCATGTCTTTTAATGTAGCAAGGCAGCAAGTGTAGATAAAAGGGGATCCAACCTTCACAAAAAGGGTTGTAACACCTCAAGCTTTGTAGAAAGAAACAAAGATTAAAGTTATGACTTTGGTATGGGAGTAAATGGTGATTGTAGTGGAGAAGGATGAGGTGTTGGGGGAGAACTTGTCACCAAGACAACAAGATAAGCTAGAGGGGGTCTTGCAGAAGTATAAGGGGATTTTCTAGGAAGATCTGAGATTGCCACCAAGGAGGGAGATAGATCATAAAATACCCATCAAAGTTGGTGAAAATCCAGTCAATGTGAGACCTACAAATGTCCACACTTGTTGAAATTAGAAATAGAAAAACAAGTGTCTAAAATGCTCAAAACGGGAATAATCAGGCCTAGTAGCAACCCATATTCAAGCCTAGTTATCTTAGTAAAAAAGAAGGATGGAAACTGGAGGTTTTACATTGATTACTGAGCCCTAAACAGGGCTAGAATCATTGATAAAGTTCCTATAGTTGTTATTGAGGAGTTCTTAGATGAATTACATGCAGCCAAATTTTTTTCAAAGGTTGATCTCAAAGCTGGGTATCATCATATAAGAATGGATGGAGAAGATATCCAGAAAATAGCCTTCTGCACTCACCATGACCATTATGAGTTCTTAGTTATGTCCTTTGGGCTAACTAATGCCCTAACCTCTTTCCAATGTGCTATGAACAATATCCTACGCAAGTATTTGAGGAAATGTGTTTTGGTGTTCTTTGACGATATCTTAATTTACAGCAAATCGTGGGAGGATCATATATTCTACTTAAAGCAAGTGTTGGAAACATTGCAGCAGCAAAAAATTTTCGCAAATAAGAAAAAAAAATGTGAGTTTGGAAAATAAGAAGTGAGGTATTTGGGCCATGTGATCTCACATAAGGGAGTCGAGATGGATCCTAAGAAGTTGACAATTATTCACCAGTGGCTAACACCTAAAACCATCAAGTAAGAGGTTTTCTTGGCCTTACAGGGGATTACAAGCACTTTATACAAGACTAAGGGAAGATAGTTAAACCTCTCACAAATATGCTAAAGAAGGGAAGTTTTGAGTGGAATAAGGAGAGTACCAATGCTCTGAAAAACCTCAAAAAAGTCATGACAAAGGCGCCTATTTTGAAGTTACCAAATTTCAGCCAGCTATTTTGTATTGAGTATGATGCGTCAGGAAGTGGGATAAGAGCAGTTTTATCCCAAAACAAGAGGCCCGTAGCATTTTTAGTAAGGTTTTATATGATACCTCACTTACCAAATCAATTTATAAGAAGGAGCTTATGGCGTTGGCTATTCAACATTGGAGACCATATTTGTTGGGACATAGGTTCACAGTGTATATTGATAAGAAAAGCCTATGATACACTTTAGAGCAATGGATAATGACTCAAAACCAGCAGAATTGGTTGACCAAACTGTTGGGGTATGAGTTTGATAATATATATAAAACAGGGGCATCCAACAAGGTGGTTGATGCTTTGTCTAGGAGGTTCGAAGATGTGGTTGAGGAGGAAAAGAACTACAAATCCTATCCAAACCATTTTGGCAAGATTTTCAATCAATAACAAAGGAGGTAAAGGATGACGTTATTTTGCAGAAGATTATAGAGGATTTAACAAACAATCCTGGATCGCATGGTCATTACACTTTGGAGCATGGACGCTTGCATCATAAAGGCAGGTTAGTGATATAGCTACATCTCCCTGGATCCCGAAGGTCTTAGTAGAATATCACACTACTCCCACAAGTGGTCATTTAGGGGGTTTTTAGACATATAGGAGGGTTGGCCAATCTCTCTATTGGATTAGAATGAAGAAGATGGTAACGGAGTTTGTGGTGACGTGTTTGATTTGCCAACAACATAAGTATTTGACTTCTTCACTACAGGGGCTGTTACAACCTTTGTCCATACCTAATGCAGTTTAGGAAGATGTAAGTTTGAACTTCATAGTCAGTCTTCCCAAATTAAATGGTTATGACCACATCCTAGTGGTGGTAGATAGGTTAAGTAAATATGGACACTTTATACCGATTAAATACCCTTATTTGGCTAGGAGTATGATAAAT